CTCTCCCATTCCTGATGATCAGAAATGGTATAATTATGTGGACTAACAAAATGCAGAATCCACTTGGGAAGGGGAACATTTTAAAACATCCTTTTGGGTGTGTTAGTTAACCCTTTATCCATATTAGAGGGAACTTGCATAAGAGATTAAGAAAGAGCTAAAATAAACAAGAATTCAGTAGCATTTTAGTAAAGGGAGGAAGATATATGGAAATGGTATTGTGGCACTTTTTTTTTTTTTTTTTTTAACTAAATGTGGGACTGAATGACGATAGAACCTATGGGACAGGAGACATTTAGAGATTAAGAAGGTTGGGGGAGGGGAGTGGGAATGATAGTAAGTCAGAGGAGTTATCTTGAGAATCTAAGTCACTGGGAAATTCCAGGAAAACTTTTGGAAGCCATTGGACGTCTGAAAATGTGAGAGGTCAAGCCCAAGTGGGCTATGTTTCTCTGCTCCTGTCAGAAAATAGTTGTGGATGTGTTTCTGTGGGATCAGATAATTAATCTTACACTTTTTACTATTTCACCTTTAAATAAAATTAACAAAAATGTTTCCATCTCATGATGGTGTGATCATTAGAAACCAACAGAATGAGTTTTCCCATCCTGCTAACCCATCAGTGAAATGAATTGATAAGCTGATGAGTGAATCCTGAACCTAATGCCATTTTAAATTAGACTCGGGTGATTTAACTTTCAGATATGAAGAATGAATCAGAATGTATTTTCCATCCTTCACTTGAACACATGGGTATCTTTATTAGAAGTTAACCTATGCCACCCCTTTTTTATTCTAAGGAAATTGGAGTAGGATTTGAAAATTTCTATGGCTAGGAAGAAGTCGACAACAAATTTATGTCTTTGAAATCATGGAAATTAGTGTTTAATATTTCTACTCTATGCTGGAACTGGTATCAAATGTTACAAATTAAACATATGGACAGTAAAAGTATGTTAGATTTTATGGCAGTTAATATTTGAACCGAGTAGTACTCTTAGCTGATATTTTTTCTATGTCATTAAAAACCCCTGGTGCCAAGCGTGTAGTTCACATTAAGCTGCTGGTGAAACTCCCAAAATTAGACTTATGGCCGTGTCATAGGTCAAAATAAAACTGAATGTGCATAATTTTGTTTTTTACTCAGCCTTAAAATCAACCCTAGAAGCTGTCACATTACCACAAGATTGAAAAAAAAAAAAAATCCCTAAAAGTTGAGTTACGACTTCATCAATTTAGTCACTGAATTTGAACTTGTCCATTCATTAGGGTAGACCCTTCAGAACCTTCTCCATCCCTCACCCAACACAGTAGCCAAAGAAGGCATGCGTGCTGAGGATTGGATTGGATTGGGTGCTTTTTAAGAGAAGGAAGTATCATGTTTGAGCAACTCTTTCTCCCCATCTCACCAACCGCTTAAGAAACTACATCCCTTAGAGAGGCCTGAGTGAGGGTATGGAAAGAATGGGCAAAACAGTAGCTGGATTTCAGTCCATTAGTTCAGTTCTCAATACATCAGCAAGTATAGACATTCTTATGGTATGGGAAACTATTAGAGCCAAGGAATAGTTCCTTGACATCATAAAATTTATCTTTTTATTTTCCAGTAAGTACTCCATATTTTTCTTTTGGTGGCTTTTGATTCTGACCTTCATATTTTCTAGATTGTTTGGCACTTGGTCTGTAGTCAATCCAAACCATCCAATCCTTAATGGTGAACTTCAGTTTCAAGTATCACCCCTCCCTTAAAGCCATTCATGCTCATCCCAGCCGTGACTCATCTTTGTCAAACAATTACATTCTTTCTAGTATGATGCCAAATTACTTGATTGTGCTTTAGCCTTTCTCTGCAGCTACACTGTGGGTAAAATTAAAGCAGGGTATGCAAAGACTACCTCCTTTCTAATCTCTAGCAGTGAATGGCACAGTACAGAGTGGATATTAAGCACCAAAAGCAAATTCACTAATTGATATTTAGATCTTCAGAAAGTCAGATCAGTATATTTTTTGAAGTCTAAGATCATAATATTTTAAAGTCATACTTTTAATTTAAAATAAATGTTATACACCTGAAACTAAGGGAAAAATACTTCTGTAGGAAAAATAAAAATCTGTTCAATGAGTACAATATTTTTCCTAATGAAAAATAGAATTTATACAAATTATTTAATACCAGTTTGTTCTTGAATGCCAAATGTGAAGATTTAACTCTAGGTGTTTTTTACACTAAGTGGAAAGAGTGAATCACTTTTGGTGCTATTATCACCATGATAGTCACTGCTTTTTTCAAGTTCATATTAATCATGACAATAACTTTCATGTCTTTGAGTTGTATCCTATAATATTGGGGAAACTAAAGTGACACTAGAAATTATCTACATTCCCTATTTTATTCTTTTCATTAACGGAATGAAGTATCCCTAGACATTAAACATTTTCTCTTGAAAATTAGCTATAGAATTTTGGCAGATGTTTAATCCATAATAGTTGGTTGTGATCCATGAACTTTCTGCAACAATATTTCCTAAATTCAAAACTTCTAACCCTTCTGAGATTTGGAAATTTCCATGGTCCTTAATTGCATTTCCTGGCATAGAAAAGACAAATGTCTGTTTATGCACTTTTTATATCAAAGCCAAAACATAGTGTCATCTTTAAGACAGTCTTTACCAATCCAAATACAAAGTAAGATTCAACTTTGTGAGGTGTTATCTTTGCAAATAAGTAATCTCTGGTGACAAGCCACTAGTCTGAAATGAATGTAGGAAGGAGGGCGTGTTCATTTGCCTATCTTTCCATATCTTTGACAAATACATCTTGAGTATAAGTTTTATAAGGACAGAGACTTTCTCTGTCATTTTATTGTGCCTAGAACAATGGCCACCATATACGGTTGTAAAGGTTGTGTTCTACACAAGGATGCAGATGAAAGGAATGAAAGGGATAAAATCTAGCCCATGACCACACACAAGTCAAACTCTAGAGGGGCTGTTTTCATGCAAAGGAGGCATTTCTCATTAATTTTCTTAAAGACATTAAGTAGAATCACCTATGTCATTGCTACAAGAGTGATGCCTTTAGTAGGAGCTCAGTAACATTTATGATTGCTACATGAAGGAGTTCCTTCTATGAACAGCTAAGTTCACCCAGGTATTACAGACAACACCTACATTACAGCTAACCCTCTACACGGTAGCCAATAAGTGCATTTGGCAATAATTACTTGAATTTCAGGTATTTTTCTGTTGGAAAAGAAAAACACAAATACAAAAGATTATTTGGGGATAGGAGAAACAGTATCTTTGTGCACAAATTACTTTATACAGTCTTTTTACTAAATTTATTCCCCCTATTTTTGTGATATGAAAGGCAAAAACAAAATGTGTATATGTAGTGATTTTGAGTACAACAGACCTGAGGATGTGAAGGCAAGACAGCCATAGAGCATCTAGGAATTAAAGATGAGATACAAGCTGGGCTCATAGAGACCCACGCTCTCCGTCTCGATTACTTGGACCACCTCTGTTAGTCTCTGTGCATGTTTCATTTGCCTCTTTGCAGGTGGGTTCCCTCCTCTTTCTTACTGTTGCTGTTCCCAGTGATTTTGTCTTACTATGGCTTTGGTTTGCTGTGGTGAAAACATCTCTTCCATTTCTAAATGACTTAGCTGGTGTGTTATCACAGTCTCTGTATCTTTCAGTTAAACTTGTCGTGAGGATCTGGTCTGGCTTACTCCCTAGTGAAATGTCCCACAACTGTGTGAGGACAAGAAAGGGATCAGGGCAGAGACAGGGAAGTGCAAGATGGTCACCTGGTCTGCCATGATACATCAGCAGAAAAGGGCTAGGGGTAGAGCTGACTGTAGACATTTGTACCAGGATCACTTTTTTTATCAACTTTCTACATAATTTCTAATATTAAATGTGCTTGTTTTCAAGTTTTGTAAATCAAGTCTTAGAAAGTGGTGGTGCTTTCTTAGGGGTTTTCATATTACCTCTTTATTTTCACATACCTCTAATTGAAATTAAGTGTTTTGTTTTTTTTTTCAATGACGAATGTGAGCAGCAAACCCCAGTAATAGCTGCAGTTCCTGCAACTTTGCCATCAGTAAAAATGGCAGATAATTTTACATCACATTCTAGTCATTGTATAAATTTCAAGACACCAGTTATGGTCATCACTGCTTTTAAATTATCCTAAAGACCTGCTGCTAGATTATTGTAGTTACAATTGTTAGGCAAGAAGACAGTTATTACTATCTTACAGGTTTTAAAAAGATATTCTGTATATTGTTTTCCAGTAGAACTCCTTTTCTTTAAAATCCAGTGGACTTAAATTTATTTTTAAAAAATATTATTATGAGAGGGGCGCCTGGGTGGCTCAGTTGGTTAAGCATCTGCCTTCAGCTCAGGTCATGATCTCGGGGTCCTGGGATCGAGTCCCGCATCAGGCTCCTTGCTCAGCGGGGAGCCTGCTTCTCCCTCTGCCTCTCCTGCTCCCCCTGCTTGTGCACATTCTCTTGTCAAATAAAGAAATAAAATCTTTAAAAACTATTATTATGAGAAAGAGTCCTTATGTTTCACCAGATTCCAGATAGGTTTGTGGCACCAAAATGCTGAAATTTTCTACTGTAGAAATATAAGAGCACACTAATTGCTGAATTTTCTAAAAGCAGTTGCTTATTTGTGCATGAGGTTTCTAAGGTCTGTCTTCACCCAGTACATTTATAAATTAATATAAATATGTTTAGATGAACAATATGTATGTTTATCTGTTAAATGTAAACAATCATAAATAGAAATTCATCATGTTTCTGTATACATATATGCTTGTATATACCCAGTAAGGAAACTACAATGTATATGGTATGATTTTCATCATTCATAAAGACATATGGAAGTTTTAAATTATTGAAAAATCTTAACACAGTAACCATACTCACAGCCATTTCAAAGGCATTAAATCTAAAGACTAAAGCTCAAATACTGTCCTTTTCACAGGCTACTCAGAAAGAGATTGAGAAACAGAAGGTTCACCTGAAGAGTGTCACAGAGCTAGGAGAGGCCTTGAAAACGGTTTTGGGCAAGAAGGAGACCTTGGTGGAAGATAAACTGAGTCTTCTGAATAGTAACTGGATAGCTGTCACTTCCCGAGCTGAAGAGTGGTTAAACCTTTTGTTGGTAAGAGAAGAGCCTAGAGGATTTTCAACCCCTCTCCATTATGAGAAGGAAATTATGTATGCTTTGAATAATGACATTTATGTCTGCACATTCCTCAACTTCACATAAATGGTGGCTCTTAACACCTATAACTATATTTTAATATTTTGCCATGTCTCTGCTGTATTTTACATGGAGATCACACCTAAGTATGATTTGACTGATACTAAATTTTTTTGCCTTTTAACATTATAGAAAGTAGGAAAATCTTTTAAGAATATTATCTAACCAATATTATATCATGGTATATCTCTGTAAAATTAAGGAATACCGGAAACACATGGAAAACTTTGACCAGAATGTGGATTACATCACAAACTGGATCATTCAGGCTGAAGCACTTTTGGATGAATCTGAGAAAAAGAAACCTCAGCAAAAAGAAGACATACTTAAGGTAGCAAATAAAATATTATGAAAAGTAATTTTCTAACTGCACACCAATTATGTTGATCATCAAGGAGTTCTTAATAAGAATGAAAAAAGTTCTTCCTCTCTTCCTTCTTCCCCCCCCTTCCTATTTTCCTTCCCTCCCTACTTTCTTAATTCACATGGGAGTTAATGACTTTGAAGAGTTTTGTAATCTGGATATCTGTCCATATCCACCTCTCACCTAATTACACAAAACAAATTCTGATGACAAAGGGATTCCAGGATTTATTTTGGTGTCATTTTGCAAACCCCTGCCCATTTGACTACTTAGTACTGTGTTCTTATATCTAACATAAGGATCAGTTTCCCAGTATCATTCACAGCCTATCTGAGTAAACACCTGAAATCCAGTCATCTGGACATTTTGCCTATGCAATATCCAAATCTTCATAATTAGTAACAGTACTGAGCTTATATAAATCTGGATGTTTTTATTTTTAACTATATGTAAAATAAACATGGCTTTCTGTTCTCTGTGTATTGAAACCAATTATTAGGATGTCCTGAGTCATCTTTCTGAAAGGCAACTTAATCTTCATTAAAAAAAAAAAAAAGTGCTGCCTATAAAAGGATATGAGAGGTATAATGTGTGAATTTATCTTATTGATGCTATGTTATCTCCATTTGATAACATCTTTCAAAATTAAATAGGAAGAGTTGAATTTTAACAAATTTCATTTAAATTAATGATTCCTTATTTTGTTTTGCCAAAATAATGGTAATTAACTAGTGGGTTCCTATTTAACACTCAAAAATTGTAGTTTCTGTCTGAACAATTCATTTGTTTCTTTTTTATGAAATTACTCTTTTCCCAAGATTATAGTTTATTTTTAATGAAAAACTGTTGATGTATTTCAGGCTATCCCCAAAACATATTCACTCTGTTGTGTGTACCTTATCTTTCTCTTGTCCTTTGATGTGTAGTTAAGGAATGCTATCTTATGGTGAATTTCCTTCAAGGCCTTTGAAATAATAGGACCTGAGTTGTTTCACTTATACCCTCTCTGACCCCTTGAGTCAGGCAGAACCTTCCTCACTCCCTCTGTCTGTGACACAGAATCCTTATCTGTTGGAAAATCCATTTTTCCCCCATGACACTCCATATAATAAAAAGGAACTCGAAAGTACCCAGGAGGAATAGAAAATTGTTATTCAGCTACCTTTCCTCCTGAGCATATATTAAGGTTGCTCCACAGCTATGAAATTGAGTAGAGTTAAGATAAAATAAGACTAAATATTCAATATTATGATTGTTGTGGGCAACATAGAGAAGTCAGGAAAATATCCCTCATCCTTCCTCAGACTAAAAATAAGCCTAGACTCAACTTAAACAAGGACGGTGATCTATTTTCCTGAGATGGCACACATTCTCAGTCTCCTCTATTTTATGGAAGTTGGTTTTTTTCCTCCCTCTGTATTCCTCTGCATGTGCTCGTTCTTTCTTTCTCTTTCTCTTTTTCACTCTCTGTCTCTCTCTCAACTTCCATTTAATTACTAACGTCAAGCCCTGTCTCTTGCTCACGGAATATAGCGTTTAAAGGCTGAAATGAATGACATGCGCCCAAAGGTGGATTCCACGCGTGACCAAGCAGCAAACCTGATGGCAAACCGCGGCAACCACTGCAGGAAAGTAGTAGAGCCCAAAATCTCAGAGCTCAACCATCGATTTGCAGCCATTTCTCACAGAATTAAGACTGGAAAGGTAGGAAGATCTGCTCCAAGGTGGAAACTAGTGATAAATGATCTCTTGCGAAGGTTGCGCAGTACTCTGAAGGGGGCAAGCGACCCCCACAGCAAGGTTTTCAAAAAGAAAATGAAGGCCAAAATGTATATAAGGAAATTTTACCACTGAATCTCATGGGAGATCAATCTCTCCCCGCTACCCCCCACCAGTCTCCCTGTCTCTCTCTCTCTCTGTCATTTTTCCTTTCATGCCACAGCTATTCTAGAAGTGCATTCTGTACTGGTTTCCATATGTACTTTCAGGGGTAACCTACAGCAGAGTAACAAATAGCATGCTGCAGGCCAACAACAACAAAGCACAAAAGACATCCAACTAAGGAAAGCACTACTGACTTATTTTGCCAAATACAATATTGCTTGTGTGTAATATGGATCAAATATCCAAAATTGGGCCTTGTATATCTCCTGCATGATCTAGGGTGTTTGTATCTCTTTATTGGTTGTGCACATGTGTGTATGTGTGTATATTTAACTTGCTCTTGCTAACTGCCGATACTTACTGTGACGAAACCCATTAGGCTGCAATGACATGCTCAAGCCATGAAAACAAATGATTGCAAAGCTTATATATCTTAATTTTGTAATTTTATATGTCTATTTATATTCAATTTAATGAAGAACCAGGGGATATGGAACTTTTGCATGATAAACCTTTATATTTGTGTAACATTTAATGAAGACAAAATCTTACCTAATAGGTAGCTTGCAAAAATATATAAAAATATATAAATCCAACTTTTTTGGGTTAGTGTCAAGTTGCAAGGTAATTACCCCCAATTTTATAAAATGCCAATTGACACATTTTTCAATATATAATACTTTCAAATACAAAAATGTATATAAAATAAATATATGTATTTACATATACAGATAATTGCTATAAGTAATCTTAAGTGAGAAAATCATTTTTGAAATATTTGTGAGAAAATATGTAATATGTCAGGTAAGTGTTGACCCCTGGAACAATAGGACAATGTGCTTGAAAATTATTTTGAAAAATATGGATACCCAATAATAGCATGATTTACAATTGCTATATTTTCTAATGCATTCCAATGTATCACTGTTATATGTACTGGTACATATTTAAAAGAGTTTCTAAACTATACTGAAATGTGATTTGAATTTTAAATACTTTATACCCATGAAACATAGTTATCCTTCAGAACTCGCCTTCCCAAAGCAAAAAGGTATTAGCTTACCTTAATGCATTGCTTCTTCTTTGTAATGTTTAAGTTAATGAGTTAGTGATACTCATTTATGTACTATTTTAAGGAAGCTGTCCTCACCTGGAAAATATCTGAAAGGCTCCAAAATTTACTTTCACAGCATAATTGTCCTTTGTAAGAATTTACTCTGCTGTTTAAGACAATTGTTTTTACTTCTAGGGATTATCATTAGAGTATGTAATATCTAAACAACCAAAGGCTATTTCAGTCATCTTAAATGGATGCTAATACTTCATTACTAGGTTTTGTATTCCTCCTGTTGTATATATCAGTAAGCTAGAGAATATTTCAGAGAAAACAGGGTATTGTTTTCTTGATCCTTTCAACAGTAGATTGAGACAAGTTATGTCACAAGATTGTGACTTGTAGATATTGAAAAATGAGTAGAATTCAACCTGTATGATAGGAAGCTGCCAGACTTAGCATGGCCAAGAGGAGTTTGTGAATTTTCATCCTATGTTCTGTACACATTTGTCAGTTACTTCTATACATCATTCATTAGGTGAGCCACTCGCTGCACTTCTTTTATTTTCCTTACTGAAGAAAGGCATAAGAGATTTTAAATAAATATTTTCAATTATATATTAATTAACAAAAGAATCACATTGTCACTTTTCAAAATACTCCTTTTTCTCTAAATTAATAAAGATGACTGGATGCGATAGTGACCCCATTTGGGGGCTTTGAGAGATAATTATGCTCTGTCATCATGATGAAACCAAAAACATGGAGATAAAGCTTATCTGACATTTTGCTGATTTGTTCATTGCATTGTGCTAGTGTGGAAATAGGCACAGGTGCAAAAGATACTTAAAAATATCTGTTTACGAACACAAACTTAGTCATTGCAATCATCTGACATGCTTAATACTAGTACATCTTCATGGAGATGTTCAATTAATGAGGTAATTCCAGCAGTCACATAGTATAATATGAAGAGCAGTGGACATGGAAGATGGAATCCGAGGCGTAATTTTGTCAGCATTAGGCAGAACATGTGGTTTCTCTTAAATTCCATTTTAATGTTTATAAGATAAAGGAGTTAAACTAGATTAGTAATCCTTAAAAGGAAAGCATTCCACCACTACCCCCAGCCCCCAAGGGTTATTGTTTAGAACAGAATGTATAAAATGGATAGCAGGAGGGTTAGTGGATGGGTGATTTCTGTCCTTTTATCTTTCTTCTTCCTGTGGTAGGGTTCAAGAGATACAACTTATGTCCATAGAACATAGTGTAAAGTCTCTGGGTTAGATTAGCTAAAATTAGGAGTAATTAGATTAGCTCTTAATAGTTCTGAATTGTGACAGCCCAGTGATCTTTTGTTGATGTAATAAGGAATTTAAAATAATGACCTGTATGTGTGTTTGTTTACAGAGTATGGTAATTCTGGAAGTGCTGGAATTCTCAGGGGTGACTTGATCCCAAAGTCAAGCTCCTAATACAGTAGAGCTTATGCATGGGAAGATTGGGGTGGAGTATGCCCTTCTTATGGTTGAGTTTATGGGCAGGTTTTACTTAAAAGAATAATCTTGGAGAAAATCTACAGTGATTAAATAAATTAAAGTAGATTGGGAATATATATGGGTAGAAAAGAGACTCAGTATAAGAACTAACTTCAGGATCCTTTTAAAGGTCAAAGAGAAAGGGCACTTGAGTAGACAAAATTTTACCCTGAAAATTCACTGACAATCCCTGGATTCATTGTTTGGTGAAGAAGACAAAGTTTATGTCTTCTGCAAAGACTGTTCATGACAAGAAATTACAAAATCCGGAAGGCAGTGGCCACTGTGGTCCTCAGTTTAGATTGGTTGAGAACTTGTCCATCAGATGCAGCTCTCTCTAGTGGTAACTTTTAACCATTAATGAGGAACAGCATAGTGAAAGGAAAAAGTTTTTAGTTTCAAGCCACAGAACTTGCTTTGAATGTGATCATGGATGTGACACTTTACCTCTCAGAGCCACCTCAAGATTGTGGTAAAGATCGAATGACTTGGGCGCCTGGGTGGCTCAGTTGGTTAAGCGAAAAAAAGATCAAATGACTTAAGATATGTAAAAGCATACGTTTTAAAAACCTACATGTTACTTTATAAATACAAAATGGTAAAAATCCTTAATATCCACAATTATTTCCATTGTATTATATATTAGCTTTGAATGGCCAAATTTTGAGAATTGAGGCAGAAATTGATGGGAAAAAGAAATGGAGGAATGACTGATTTCTCCTTCTGGCCTCTGCTGGAAATGGGCTGGGATCAAAAAGATGTCTTTGCTATTTCCATTGTAAGGACCAGCCTTATAGATTATCAAGTGGACCAATATAAGAAATACTAGGAAGTTCTGCTTGTCCCAAATATGACATGAAATGCTACCTCTTCCTATTTCATTTAGGTTTATATCAGAAGTACCTGACTGCTTTGAGAAAGCTTAATTTCTCCTAATCTCTATGAAATCAGTTTGAGAAAATGGCAGTTTTAATGGGGATGGTCAGAATTATAGAAATGAATCAGTGGTAACTTCCTAACCCGGGTAAAGTCAATGAAATCAATGGGGGGAGACAATATGTCTCAACTCTTTCGGTTTTAGGGCTTCTGAACATGGTGGTGTAGCAGGGTGCTGATGAGGAAGATACTGTCAGGAAAAGAAGATAACAGGAAACAGATGCATAGAGGGCAGAAATAAGCTGACTACTTAGTGCTGTTCCTTATGGCAGCTCTACTCCTCTCCATCTTCTGAGAAGCCAAGTTGGAGAGGGGAGTCTGCATTTTGGGAGAGATGGTAGTTGAGGTAGATCTTAAAGGATTAATGAAGGAATGGTTGGGAAAAGGGACCAATATGAATGATCTCTTACGAACAGTGTAGTATTTCAGGTCATAATGTTTGGTTCTGTGGTACCTGTATTGCTAGCTAAGGTGTGATGAATTCAAGGAGCTTACTGTTTAATTGTGGAGCGAGGTATGTTCATGGATATTGGGCCAAGAATGAGTGTATGCTGAGTGAATTTACCAGCCACTCTAGCAACATAGAAGAGGTAGCAATTCAGGATAACCTATGAAAAAGCTCAAAGTGTATGGAGTGTTCAGTGGAGAGTACATTCAGTTTACTTACAAAATGTAGAGCATGGAGTGTGAAGCTTAGTTGTGGATGATAAGAATGAAGAGGATGATTAGACACAGTGTGGAGAGGTCATGACAACCAGACAAATAGTTTATGCTTAATTCAGTAGGCAATGAGGAGTTCTTAATGTTTTTTTGTTTTGTTTTGTTTTATTTTGTTTTGTTTTGTTTTCAGTGCACTGTTGAAAGGTTAGTCCAATAGTGGTTGGGAAGAGAATTCAACTGAATAATAACAGGAAGTAGGGAAACCAATTAGGAAGCCATGGTGATAGTCTAGATGAGAAACACTGAGTACCTCAAATAAAGGGATATCTCTGGGAATGAAAAGGAAGCGACAGTGTAGAGCAGTGACTTTCAAAACTTTCTGTACTTGGAGGAATTGTTAAAACACAGATTGCTGTCTATCGCCTGCCCCCACTGCCCACAGAGATTATCATTCAATAGGCCTTGAGTGTGGCCTGATATTTCCATGTCTAAGAAGTTTCTAGGTGATATCGATGCTAATGATCTAGGATCCACTTTGAGAACCAGTGGTCTACAGACATTAAGAACTAACCTAGACTTAAATTATTACATGCGAGGGCCAAAAAGATGGTGAGCTGAAAAATGGCTCAGAA